AACTGAAAATTACTCGACTATGATACAGAGGTGATAGAGTTTGTTCTCTATGGTCTTCATGACTAAATTTTAGTGAAGTATTAAGTTCATGTGTTGGCTTAGACCTTCCTCCATAACGGATGAAATTAATACAAGTCATTAAAGTTTAATCTCTAATTTTGATTATCTGTATTGACTCTCCTAAACTGAGTAATATTTGATTGGATCAATGGATCTACGGATAATGATATTCACTTGACTTAAAATAACATATACTCTCCATCTGAGTTAGCTTTTGTTCTAAATTTGTTGAAGTGAATATCTGACACCACATATGTATGTTGCATGAGTAGTCATTTTTTCATCAAAATTTATTGTTCAAGATGCATTGATATCTATGAGGTGTGTTTTTGAATTTTAATATTCAATGTATACATAAACATGCTTTTCTTTTGGAATTTTAGAATTTCGTTCTTTATTCTTAATTTATGTATCTATTTCACAAAATGATGATATATGATAAGGAATTACTGAGCGGGAAAATCTTAAATTCTACTTTGGCCAAACAACGTTTTCAACCAAATTGATCATAGTTTTGGAATTCGAAAAAAAAAAAACTCTGATTGATCTGGAATTTGGTAAATTCATAAGAACGACCTAGTAAGAAACTATTTTTTTTGGATCGTTATATGAGTTTTTGATTATATTTGATTAAATAGTAGTGAAGTATTAATTTTATGTGTTGGCTTAGACCTTCCTCCCTATCAGATGAAATTGACATAAGTCACTATGTATTTAATCGTCTAGTTTTGATAATCTGTATTAACTCTCCTAAACTGAGTAATATAGGATTGGATCAATGTAACTAGAGGATTTTCACTTGACTTAAACTAACAGTAGACTCTCCATCTGAGTTAGACCTGTATACGTTTATGGAATGAATAATCGATCATTGTACATGTGTATTGCATGAGTAGTTCTCCAATCCCATCGATTGGCTATTCGAGATGCATGGATATATATGTATAAATGAGCCCTAAATTTTGTTATTTAGGATTATTCGAAATATTATGATCTATTTAAAGTATTATATCTCATATTCTCAATAGACTTTACACACCCACTTAGTACTACTTAAGCTTTTCTTTTGGTAAAGATAAATATATTAATTCAAAGAATGCATTGTACATGTACCTTATGTTAGAAGGAATTATTTTCAGTTTCTAACTAGATAAGAGATGAGTATTTAATATTTTTCGTTGTAACTCTCCTATCATTGAGTTTGATGAATATTTTATTTCTTGTGGTATATTGATGCGTGATTCTTTTATTAGTATTATTTCTCATGAATTGAATTATATTAATCTGTCTCATAAGGAAAAATATCTTTTAAATTGAATGAAACTTATCTGTACATTAGTGTCTAAGTCATTTATTCTGAATAGAATTTCGAGGTTGGTTAATGGATGAACATAACGGTTCATTGAAAGTGAAGTCACTACCAACATATGAGTCTTGTTTAGAAGGAAAAATGACTAAGAGACCTTTCCTCTTAGAAAAGGAAAAAGAGGTAGTGATAAGTTATAATTAATCTATTCTGATTTGTGTAATAAATGAGCATTTAGGCAAGCGGTGAATTTGAGTATTCTGAGTTTTCAAAAAGGTTACTCATGATATGTATATATTTTTTGATGTTTTGTAAGTCTAAATGTCTTGATAAACTCAAAATATTTAAGGCACATGAAAATAGCATCATGAAAAATATATAAAGTTACTGCAATCTAATTGTAGTGACGTAAACCTCTCTGCAGAGCTCATAAGTCACTTATCTTATAGAATAATTGCATTTCAACTATCTACACCAGACACTCTATAATAAATTGTTGTAGAAGAGAAAAGAAGTAGACTCTTATGAAGATGATAAGATTAATTATTGATTTATTATTAGTTATTTTTTTTCTTTTGGGATAGGTTCTAATAACTACATATCACATTCTGAATTCAATTTCTTTCAAATCAGAACCTTGAACAACTATAGAACTAGTTGGATTTGACGTAAGTCTAATCTGTGACATGTTCAGATATAGGATTGTTCAGCACATGTGCTGAGTTTCATGGGTTCGAGCACTACTGAGGATCCAGAGAACTTCATTGAGGAGCTGAAGAAGATTTTTGATGTGATGCATGTGATAGATACTGAGCGGGTTGAACTAGCTGCGTATCAATTGAAGGATGTTGCTAGAACTTGGTTCGACCAGTGGAAAGGGGGCAGAGTTGAGAATGCACCACCTGCAAATTGTGCCTGTTTTGAGGAAGCTTTCTTGGGGCGTTTCTTTCCCCGAGAATTGAAAGAGGCCAAGGTACGTGAGTTCCTCACACTTAAGCAGGAGTCGTTGAGTGTTAATGAGTACAGTCTGAAGTTCACACAACTATCCCGGTATGCTCCGGAGATGGTTACGGACATGAGGAATAAAATGAGTTTGTTTGTTGCTGGGCTGTCTCGGTTGTCAAGCAAGGAAGGTAGGGCTGCAATGCTTATTAGGGACATGGACATATCTAGGTTGATGGTCTATGTGCAACAGGTTGAGGAAGAGAAGCTGAGGGACCGAAAAGAGTTCAGAAATAAGAGAGCGAAGACCGGTAATGAGACCGGGCAGCAGAAAGGTAATGCGAACCGTTCATCCTTTTAGCAAAGGCAAAAGGGACCTGCTCCATCATCTGCTAGAGCACCTGCACCCAGATACAGAGGTGAATTTAATGGCCAGAATTCGAAGGATTTCAAGGCTAGACCAGCATAATCTTCGAGTATTGTGGCACAAGGAGGTAGTTCGATTCCTGCATGTGCTAGGTGTGGTAGAACCCACCCCGGTAAATGTCGTGATGGCCAGACAGGGTGTTTTAAGTGTGGACAAGAGGGTCACTTCATGAAAGAGTGCCCTAAGAATAAGCAAGGTAGTGGAAATATGGGCAATAGGGCCCAAGCTTCATCAGTTGCTCCCCCAGACAGGATGGTACCTAGAGGAGCTACTTCTAGTACTAGCGGAGGAGCAAACCGCCTCTATGCAATCACCAGTCACCATGAGCAAGAGAACTCTCCAAATGTTGTCACTGGTATGATCAAAGTCTTTGTTTTTTATGTGTATGCTTTGTTAGATCCAGGAGCAAGTTTATCTTTTGTAACTCTTTATGTTGTAAATAAGTTTGAGGTTCTTCCTGAAAGACTTTATGAACCCTTTTGTGTTTCTACACCTGTTGGGGAGTCTATTATAGCAGAAAGTGTTTATCGTGATTGTCCTGTTACTATCAATCACAAGAGCACCATGGCTGATTTGGTTGAGTCAGACATGGTAGATTTCGATGTCATTTTAGGTATGGATTGGCTTCATGCCTGTTATGCATCATTAGATTGTAGAACCCGAGTGTTCAAGTTTCAGTTTCCGAATGGGCCAGTCTTAGAGTGGAGTAGTAGTTCAGCAGTGCCTAAGGGTCGTTTCATTTCGTACCTTAAGGCGAGAAAGTTAGTTTCGAAGGGTTGTATCTATCACTTAGTCCGAGTTAGTGACTCTAGTGTTGAGATACCTCATTTTCAGTCAGTTCCTATAGTAAGAGAGTTTCAAGAAGTTTTTCATGATGATCTACCCGGAATTCCTCCTGAGAGAGAAATAGATTTCGGCATAGATCTCATTCCAGATAATCGTCCTATCTCTATTCCGCCTTATAGAATGGCACCAACAGAGTTGAAAGAGTTGAAAGAGCAGTTGAAAGATCTCCTAGATAAGGGTTTCATTCGACCAAGTGTCTCACCTTGGGGCGCTCCGGTCTTGTTTGTGAGAAAGAAAGATGGTTCCCTTAGAATGTGTATAGACTACCGCCAGTTGAATAAGGTTACCATCAAGAATAAGTACCCTCTTCCAAGGATTGATGATCTTTTCGATCAGCTTCAGGGTGCCACTTGTTTTTCGAAGATTGACCTCAGATCAGGCTATCACCAGTTAAGAGTAAGGGAATGTGATATTCCAAAGACAGCATTCAGGACTAGATATGGTCATTACGAGTTTTTAGTCATGTCCTTTGGTTTGACCAATGCACCGACAGCTTTCATGGACGTGATGAATAGAGTCTTCAAACATTATTTAAATATGTTTGTTATCGTCTTCATTGATGACATACTAATCTATTCAAGGAATGAAAAAGATCATGCTAGTCATCTCAAAATAGTTCTTCAGACTTTGAAAGATAAAGAGTTGTATGTCAAGTTCTCTAAGTGTGAGTTTTGGCTTGAGTCCATGGCATTCCTAGGCCACATTGTGTCTGTTTATGGAATTAAAGTTGATACTCAGAAAATTGAGGCAGTGCAGAATTGGCCTAGATCCAATTCTCCAACTGAAATTAGGAGTTTCTTGGGTTTGGCTGGCTATTATAGAAGGTTTGCAGAGGGGTTCTCGTCTATTGCATCTCCTTTGACTAGGTTGACTCAGAAGACAGTGAAATTTCAATGGTCTGAAGCTTGTGAGAAAAGCTTTCAGGAATTGAAAAAGAGGTTGATTACTGTTCCAGTTTTGACGTTACCAGAAGGTACTCTCGGTTTTGTGGTGTATTGTGATGCATCTAGAGTTGGTTTGGGTTGTGTCTTAATGCAGAATGGCAAGGTTATAGCTTATGCCTCCAGACAGTTGAAGGTTCATGAGAAAAATTACCCAATCCATGACTTAGAGTTAGCTGCCGTAGTATTTGCCTTGAAGATATGGCGTCATTACTTGTATGGTGTGCATGTTGATGTGTTTACTGATCACAAGAATTTTCAATATGTGTTCACTCAGAAAGAGCTTAATCTTAGGCAGAGGAGGTGGTTATAATTACTCAAGGATTATGACCTGAGTATTCTTTACCACCCAGGTAAGGCTAATGTTGTTGCTGATTCTTTAAGCAGGTTGTCTATGGGTAGCACCGCCTATATTGAAGAAGGGAAGAGAGAGTTTGCAAAAGATGTGCACAGACTGGCACGCCTGGGAGTCAGACTTATGGATTCCACAGAAGAAGGTATAGCGGTGACGAACGGGGCCGAGTCATCATTAGTGGCAGAAGTGAAAGAGAAATAAGACCAAGATCCCATTTTGCTTGAGTTGAAGGCAAATGTTCAAAAGCAGAAAGTATAAGCTTTTGAACAAGGGGGAGATGGTGTTTTGAGATATCAAGGTAGATTGTGTGTACCTATGATGGATGGACTCCAAGAGAAGATTATGGTGGAAGCTCATAGCTCCAGATATTCCATTCATCCGGGTTCCACAAAGATGTATCGTCATTTGAGAGAAGTTTATTTGTGGAATAGCATGAAGAAAGGCATTGCTGAATTTGTTGTTAAGTGTCCAAATTGCCAGCAAGTGAAAGTTGAACACCAAAGGCCCGATGGTTTGGCACAGAGGATAGAACTTCCGGAATGGAAGTGGGAGATGATCAATATGAATTTCATCACAGGGTTGCCAAGGTCTCGTAGACAACATGATTCTATTTGGGTAATTGTCGACAAAATGACAAAGTTAGCCCATTTTCTACCAGTAAAGACTACCCATTCAGCAGAAGATTATGCCAAGTTATATATCAAGGAGATAGTGAGACTTCATGGAGTCCAGTCTCCATTATTTCAGATAGAGGTGCACAGTTTACTGCATAGTTCTAGAAATCTTTTCAGAAAGGCTTGGATTCAAATGTGAACTTAAGTACTGCCTTTCATCTTCAGACGGATGGGCAAGCAGAGCGCACTATTCAGAATTTAGAAGATATGTTGAGGGCTTGTGTGATCGATTTCAAAGGTAATTGGGATGATCACTTACCTCTCATTGAGTTTGCCTACAACAACAGTTATCACTCTAGCATCCACATGGCTTCATATGAAGCTTTTTATGGGAGAAGATGTAGATCTCCTATTGGATGGTTTAAAGTTGGTGAAGCACAGTTGATAGGACCAGATTTAGTTCACCAAGCTATGGAGAAGGTGAAAGTGATTCAAGAGAGGTTGAAGACGGCACAGAGTCGCCAGAAATCCTACACTGATGTTAGGAGAAGGGCGTTAGAGTTTGAAGTAGACGATTGGGTATATTTGAAAGTCTCACCCATGAAAGGGATTATGAGGTTTGGTAAGAAGGGTAAACTCTGTCCCCGGTATATTGGACCTTAACGCATAGCCAAGATAATTTGCAATGTTGCTTATGAGTTAGAGCTACCACAGGAACTAGCAGTGGTTCATCCGGTATTCCACATCTCCATGTTGCATAGGTGATCCTTCATTGATCCTACCAACTGAAAGTATTAGGATCAAGGATAACTTATCTTATGGGGAGATTCCTGTTCAGATTTTAGATCGCCAAGTTCGTAGATTTAGAACGAAAGATGTAGCATCAGTCAAGGTCCTTTGGAGGAACCAATTTGTTGAGGAAACTACTTGGGAAGCTGAAGAGGACATGAAGAAGAGATATCCACGTCTCTTTGAATCCGGGGAAAATGCAAATTAAGGTATCAATTTCCTTTTTAGTGCTCTTTAACTTATAATGAGCATGTTGTTGTTGTTTGTTGGGTGTTTGAGTTGATGTCACACCCTTAGCCTAACAAGATTAATCTCATTCGAGGATGAATGTTCCCAAGGGGGAGATATTGTAACATCCGGCAATTTGAAATATCTATGAAGAGGCTTAGAAGTGGAATAATCATTCTTGGAAAGAATTCAAAAATCTGGAAATTTGTTAAGTATGGAAAAAAATGAGTTTTTGGCCAATAATAAATCCTAGCTCAGGATGAATTAGGTGTAGTTCCAGTTATGTTTGCGAAGCTCGTGGAATGATCTTTCCAACGCCACCGAGTTTGCTCAATTCCGAGTTCGTATAAGTGAGTTATGTCATTTGGAAGTTGGGCAGTTGGCAGGGAAATTTGTCCGAAAATTTTAAGGGTATTTTGGTCTTTTCCCTAACCAATTCTTTTGGTTATATTAGTGTGTTAGACTGATTATTTTGATCAGTTCTTCCTTTTTTAAAAGAGTGAGAGTGAGGGTTTGTGAGTGAAGAGGAGAAGAAGAGGAGAAAGAGAAGATCAAGCAAGGTTTCATCAAAGATCGTTGTGGATATCGTCGGGGGTGATCCCTACTAGGTATGTGAGTTCATAGTGTTGGGTTGGCTCTTTCCCCACCCGCCAAACTTATTTTATTTCCGAGAAAAGTTGTTGGTTGTGTTGTTGAAGTTCTTGTTGGTTTAGTACATGATTTGGTTGTGTTTTGAGATGAATCTCTTGTATGTTGAGGGATTTTATGATTCTTAGTGTTTGGAGTTGAAACCCTTGAAGTTAGGGTGGTTTAGAGTTGGACAAAGGAGGAAGAAAAGTCGAGTTTTCGGGGAAAAGGGGTGGCGTGTCGCGCCTGCCAGCGTGCCCCAAAAGGGACTCTGAAGTCTAGCCCTTGGGGTGGCGCGCCTAGCAGAGCTCCAGCAGGCCCCTTCTGAGCTTTGTGGTCTGGCGCCCCGCGCCTCTCAGAGCGCCAAGGACGCAAACCTTTCCCATTCTTTCCCCACTTTTTCATGCATGTTCCTTGGCATTGTATCTATGTTTCATAGTTGTTTCCAACACTCCAAGGTACGTCTAAACGTCAAGAACTTATCCATAAACGTGTGATCATATACCTTGAATCCATAATCCAATTCAAGGCAAGTTCGGATCAAAGTCAAGTGAAGTTAGAAGTCAAGTCTAGAAGTTAAGAAGTAAGTCAAAGCAAATCTTCAAAGTTTTTCAAGAGTCTTTGTTGAACATTTTAACTTCATTTTAAGGCTCAAGTTTCAAGTTGAGTAAAAAGTATAGAGTTTCAAGTTAAGACACGAGTATAGAGTTGAGTTCATTTCTCAAAAGTATTAGGGAACTAAGTATTTCCCCAAAGAAGCTTATAAATGTTTTCACATTTGAGTAAGAGAGGAACTATGATTCCAAAAGAGCCTTTGGGCTAGTTTTCAAGAAAAGGGAACATCGATTCCAAGTGAGCCTTTGGGCTAGATTTTGAGCAATTATCTCAAACTAAAGAAAGATGTGTTTTAAATACTTATGAGCCAAAGTATTTTTGGGAGTAGTATTGAGCACCGAGTTGGGGACACGAGTTCATATTAACTCAACTCTCCATGAGCCAACATACTTGACGGGTCATTCTTTTAGATGATCACGTAAGATTAAGCTAGTGGATCCACTAAGTTAAAGTAAGGTCCTATATCACGGCTAGGTATAGGATGGTCCTTGGGCAACGTGAGGTAAAACGTTGTATCACCACTAAGGCTCATAGTAGTGGTTGTCGGTTAAAGAATCTCCCACTAAAGTTATATTACTTTTATATAAGTAAAGTTGAGTTTGTTATTGTTTTATCATTAACGAGCTAAGTTGTTTACACTGTTTTACAAACTTTATATATTGCATGTGTCTTATTGCTTTATATATTGAGTTCAGTTATTCATGAGTCGAACAGAGCCAAGATAAGTGTTCTCTTGCACTCTTTTCAAGCTTAAGTTGTGGTTTAGCATTTCCAGCTCGCATACTCGTACATTCAATGTACTGATGCCAGTTGGCCTGCATCTTATGACGATGCAGACGCTGGTACCCAGGATCAACATCCAGCACGCCGTTGATCCAGCTGAGCACTCTAGAGTCAGTGGTGAGCCTCCTTGTTTTCCGGAGGACTCTGTTATTTTGTGTTCTTAGTTTTGTTTGTTTAGGATGTTGCGGGGCCTATCCCAACATCCATCTCAGTATTTTAGAGGCTTCATAGACAGTCAGTTAGTTAGTTAGTTTTGAGTCTCTCATCTATGTATATATGTAAATATTCTATTTTGGGACTCGAGTTGCCTTTTTGGCCAGATTTTATCAGTTAAGTTATTTTATGTCCTTGCATTGCATGGAGTTATTCTGTCGAGTTAGGTTTCCGCTAAGTTAAGAAAGTCAGGCCAAGGGTTTGCTTGGGGCCAGCAATGATCTTCGAGTGCCGGCCACATCCAGGGTGTAGTCTTGGGGCGTGACACTTTCGTCTCTCGAGTCCTTATTGCCCTGACCCTAAGGCTGTCCTCGAAAGGAGGTTAGTGAAAAAGGGCAACAAAGTTGTTGGCCAAGTCTTGCTAAAATGGTTTAGTATTGATGTTAATCAGGCTACTTGGGAATTTATATCCGAGTTGAAAAGCACATATTCTCTCCATTTCATCCTTGAGGTCAAGGATCATCTTCAGCAGGGGGTGTTAATATAAGTCTAACACTGAACTAGCCTAGGTGAGTTGGGAAGTTAGTTAAGTGATGTAGCAAGTTAGTTAGAAGTAGTTGCAGTTGTCAGACTATAGCAGTTAGATTTTCAGATTTCATCTACTAGTTTCATTTCCTTAAATATAGCCAATACATATAATTGGATTCATTCATGAAATAATATTTGATTTTCTCTTACTCTTCTGCATTCAATCCAACCTCAATTCTCGGTTATAAGCCTGATTTGGCTATCATCTTCTTCGAGTCATCTCCTAGATTAGCTAATTCCATTACAGATTGCTTAATTGCATCACAAAACTCTTCTAAAAAGGATTAGATAGGTTGTTTCCCCCATCGTAGGAATGACAATTGGGAGGGGCAAGCCTTGACCAGCTAAGATTTTGACCACCCTACCTTTCTCCGTTTAATATTTTCCAAAATATTACCCTACTCTACTCTACCCTACCCTAACGTGCCGTGCTAAACACTGCCCCAGAAAAATTTCTTAAATAACAAACATTAGGCCTTAAATAGGATTCTTAGCTACACTTTCACTAATTACAATTCGCAGGTACACTTTGATTTGCTACACATTTGTATTTTTGTTGTATTTTTTCACAAATTTCGGAGAAGAAAAAAATACAAATACAATATCAAAATGAATACTTATTAGGAGGAGAGAGGCAAGCGAGATTGAGAGAGATACGAGTGTAATCGAGAGAGGAAGGAGAGGGGATGAATACTTGTTGTATTCATTGCATCACGAATACAATTAATACATAATACAAATATAGTTGATACAAAACACAAATATAGGTTTTCAAATACAATTGATATAAAATTCAAATCTTTCACCTATATTTGATTGGATTTAATTGATACATAATACATTTGAAAGAGAGGATGAATGCATATTGTATTCGTATGAATGCATATTATATTCGTTGTATCACGAATACAATTGATACATATTACAAAATAGTTTTTCGAATACAATTGATATAAAATACAAAGTATTCACCTATATGTGATTGAATACAATTGATACATAATATATTTAAATGAATTTCTTTTTTTTAGAGAGAGAAAAATTTGCTATAAAATCCTACATATAGCTACGAATTGTAATATTTTATCATAAATATAAATCACATGTTTGCGTTGTTGCATAATTTTCCCTTTTAAAAACTGCTTTTGACTTTATTATATTTAATCCTAATTCAATAATTTAGCGGAATTCAAGATCTGTTTTATTACTATACTTAGAAAGGCCAAAGTAACATCTTTGGAATAAATTATTCTTTCTTGTTATTTCACGGCAACAGGTTCTCTTGGAAATAAATTAATTCTTTCACTCCAAAAGTAAGATGTCAACTAACCAAATTGTTTGGCTTTTGAGATGTTCAGATTGAAAATTAAATTTGAACTTATTTACTTTTAGAAGTAGGAAGCCTACTTATAAGTTAAAAGAATATTTTTGCTAGATAATATCTATCTAATTAAATGCTAATTAACTATTCAACTTCGTAAATTCAGATAATATATTGTCATCTTAACATTGACAAACATGTCACTATACAAAGATCAAAAGATAGATCATTCACAAGCACTTGTACTATCATTTACTCAAAGTTTAATTTTAATAATATCGATATTATTTTGCAAAATCTTATAATTCATGACTTGACATACAAGTGCAACACATGTGTCGAGGAACTAGTCCACGAAAAGAAGGGAGATCATAACTTGCATTTTGTGTACTACACTAGGGACCAGAGTCACCAGAGGGAAAGAACCTCACAGCTGTATTGACTCATAGCCTTGCTGATCCCTTTGATTCCGACGTTGATAAATAACAGCAGCACCAACAAGTAGTGCAATTCCAAACAGTGCTGCCAAGGCTCCAATAGCATTCTGCAATATTACAATCTCATCTGTCTGCAATAGTGAAGAAGAAACAAGTTCAGAAATATATGATCTTGTGTAGACTTAAGTAGGAAATTCACTACTCTGAATCTCGAAAACTTTTAATGCGTCAAAGATCTTACTTCATCTGTGGAATGTAGGATAGAATTAGGCTTCGGTGATGGTTCAGCAACCAAGAGATGGAACAACCCCATCACTCCCGTATGCCTCTGGGCATTGCTATAGTTTGATAGTAAAGTTACAGTCTCCCCTTCCGAGATCTTGATAGAGCCAGGTCTAGGATAACAACTAGACATACCGACAATGTATCCAGCTTCATTTCCTGGTTCCTTTCCTT